AGGGAGGGAGGGAGGGAAGGAGGGAGGGAGGGAGGGAGGGAGGGAGGGAGGGCAGGTCAGCCCGACGCACTGGTTCAGCCTGAGGGCCTTTGAGGCTCTGCTCTCGGGGAAGCCCATCTCCGTGAGCTGTCGCAGGGCAGCCTCGTCCACTCGCTCCTCCTCATCTTCATCCAACATAGCTGCAGGTCAGAGAGGAGACCCTGCATGAAGGGGTGCCCAAATCCAAGCCCCAGCCCTGTGTTACAGCCTCCTCTGTACACACCCCTGTGACTGTCTAAAACCTCAGCGGGATGGTACAGCAACCACAAGCAGAAATGGAATCCTGTGAATCCCCCATTTTGATGCAAGGGCTTAAGGCAATGGGCAAATAGACTCATGCCAGAAGTCAGGGCCTGGCTCATACCATTAGCCTTCTTAAACAATTCCACTGCGTCGGGGTTCAATGCTAACAACTTCTGTGCCACCTCAATGAGAGACACCAAGATTTTCCGGAGTTCTGTCTGGAACTGCAGTAAAACAAAGAAAGATCATTTGTCTGGATGTCCAGTGAACCTATGGAGAACCCCAATGCACCCCAGAGCCAGCACTCCTAGTCTGTGAGGTCAGACCCTGCCGTCTCCTCCCAGGCCAGCTGAGTGGGGTTAAGAGCTGGGGCGATGTGATTCTAAAGAGATGTAGTGATAAAAGCCCCACTCCTGCCTCCCTGAAGAGAGCTGGCAGCTCCACCACCTGGCTGGAAGCACAACAGGCAGCAACAGTGCATCACCCAAGCTAGATGCTGGAGCTGGGGGAACGGCTGCCTTTATACCACAAGTCTGTGCCTTTAAGACCCTGCCTAGGCTAGCGATATAGAGGCTAGGGAGAGGCACTGACGTGCCAGCTGCTACAGAGACTTACAATTCCTGATCAACATGGAACTCTCTAGAAAAGACACCCCCCCCCCAGTTTTGTTCCTAAAACTAACGCTCACAGCAATGCCTGTATCAGTCCAGACCTGATGAGGCCAAAGGCCAGCCACTCTCCCCATCCCCAGCGTCCACATCTTCCACTCCCCACGCAAGCATGGGGACACTTCCTCCTGTCCAACTAACTTGGGAGCTCTGGCTTCTTCTATGCCAAGCTAGGGCTAGCTCAGGCCCAAGTCTTCCCATTTACCAGGGCGATCTGTCTCTGCAGTCCTCCTCAGGTATCTGACATGCTGGGGTTTGGCTCTTAGTTTTTTGAGTGCAATACTAGGGCCTCACACTCACTAAGCTTTCTTTCTCCCAGCTGGCTCTCTCTCGCTTGAGCCATCCTTTAGCCTAGCTTCTTACTAATTGGAGATGGAGTCTTGCAGAATCTTCTGCCCAGACTGGCAATCCTCCAAGTCTCAGCCTCCTGGTCGCTAGGATTGTAGCTGAGTCACTGGCACCAGGCTTCTGGCATAATGCTTACTTTAAGTAATGCTAGATTTATGGAGCAGTTGTAAGAGTAGTAGTGAGTTCCTGAACACCTTGCCCTGGCTTTTCCACCTTTTTTTTTTGTTTGTTTGTTCGAGGAAAGGTCTCACTCTGCTGAGCAGATTAGACTCAATTCCCAGGATACAAGCACTCCCCAGAGTGCTGGGACCACGGGCATGCAGCAGCCACTGCAAGGCCCCAAGCACTTCTGAAAGGCTTCTATCACCCCAGGCACTCAGCATGCCCTGCTCTGGCCAACACTCACATCTCTCATGGTAGTCTGGACTGCAGCTCGGTCTGTGCTGCAGGCAGGCAGGTTGGCTGTCGCCCGGAGGATGGCGTCTTTGTCCGGAGCCTTCTGCTCTTGTTTCTTCTGCACAGAAAGGGATGAGAGTTAGAAAGAAACACAGGAGCATAAGGAGCACGGCTACAAACCTGAACAAACATGGCCTCGCTGGGGAGCGAGCCCATCTCCTTCTACTCTACAACTGTAGCTCAGCCTCTGAGAACTGGGGGCTGGCACCGGAGTCCTGTGCACGGCTCAGCAGCAGAAGCCCAGACAAGATGCATACCACACTAACCAGCTGCTACAAACCACGGGGTGGTGACGATAGAATACAGTGCAGAACAACCCTGCAAGGCTGGGGTAGGACTGGCACGAGAGGCCTTTGAGGACCCACAGGACCCTGCAGTGAAGTCTGAAGGCTAAATACAGATGTCTGTGCTTCTTCTGGAGCCTCCCTGATCAAGAGCAAAGGCTAAGGAAGACATGCGGAGAACAACACAGGAGAGGAAACTGGAAGGACAGAAGGCACACACAGAGGGGGCAGACGTGGCACAGGTTAATGTCAACCATCTGACAGGGATAGAACCTGCTGGGAGAAGGAAGGCCACACCAACTCCCAGAGCCAGAGAATTAGTGCCACCAAAGATGGCTCTAGGAGTGATATTCCTCCAGCACTGGGCATCCTGACGCACGTCTGGATGCAGTGGGCTCACCCATTTTCCTGGCAACTACAGGAAGCCTAGAAGTAGGTGGATCATGACTCAAGCAGGTGCCCAGACAGGAAGCAAGAACCTATCCTAAAAATAACCAGTGAGAAACAGCGTTAGATATATGGTTCAGTGATGGAGCACCAGCCTCGTAAGCCCAAAGTCCTGAATTCAAACTCCAGGACTACCAAGAAAAGTAAATTCCTAAAATTCAAACATTTGAATCTCCAGAGTCACAGAAGACACAGCAATAGGGAAAACCTGCACCAGGGGTACTATGAAATTCTAGGACATGTCCATGCATACACAGGTAAGGCCCACAGGAGGAAGGGAAAGGGAAAAGAGGGAATCTCGTAGCACTGTCAACCTATGGCCAGGAAGTGGAATGGAAGACCTAGAGACACCCCTCTTCCATATCAAAGGAAGCCAGCTCCACCAGACCAAGTGCAGGAGGTAATCCTGAGTATCTACTTGACTAGTCCCAGGGGACTGGTAGAGCACAATCTGAGTACATCTGTGAGGGTCCCAGGACTCTGCCCACTGGTGGAGTAAAGCTCTCAACAGACTACGAGGAGGTGGCAGATATGGACAGTGGGGCCTGCTAGAAAGGCACCCTGAAGGGGGCAACTAGGCCCCAGTCCCTTCCCATTGCTCCTCTTTCTTCTTGGCTGCTGTAAGGTGAGCCATGGCCTCCATCATGTCATTCTCCCAGGATGGTTCTGCACTGTCATTAATCTAAAAACAGAATCAGTGAGCCACAGACTCAATCTTCTGAAACCATGAGATAAAATATGCCCATTACCCTTAGAATTTCTTTCACAGTAACAAAAGATATGTCCAGGGAACAAGTACAAATACACCCAGGGAGCAAAGCAGAGCGACACATTGGATCAGATTCTGCGTGGCCTCATAAACCCCTTCCCGGCAGTCCCCCTGCACACTACCAGGGGTAGTGCGGGGTGGGAAGGTTCTGCCTGGAGGTTCAGTTTTATCACATGGCATACTGACTGCAGGAAAGCACATGATGTATGCTGGCCCTGACTGGATCGCTGAAGTCCTCATAAGGGACAGAGCTCCTTCCAACAAGAGCCAACCCTGCGAGGTTCTGCTGCTGCTGTGAATGCTGTGAAAATGAAAAGGCTGGCCCGCAGGGCTGAGTGAGCCTGGGAACCGACCCTTTCACACCTCCAGAAAGGGACTCAGCCCTTAGAGAGTCTGACGTCAACTCAGGACCCTCAGCAAAGACCAGCTGACCCTGCTGACCTAACCAACGGTAAGCTAAGAAATGAGAAATACAAAGTGGGAGAAGGGTGGGTTAGGAGTGATGGATGGCAATGCGGTCAGACACCTTGTACTCATATACTATTCTGTAGAATGGGAACGTCTTTGTACACTACTTAAAGATATAGTAATAATAAATATTAAAGAAAAGAGAAATACTTTTGTCATTTTTGTTTTATTTTGGTTTTGTTTTCTTATAGGATAGGTTCACACTGCACACCAGTTAAGCACATCCCCAGCCCTGGTGAGTGCTATTTTAAGAAGATTAAGTTTGTGGTAATCCAATAGGTAGCAACAGGAAACCTACATATGATTCTAACTCAAGAGAAAGAAAGGCAGGAAGACGTGACTGCAGGGGCAAGAGGCAGATGCAGGGCCAGGGTGCCTGGAGGTACACCTTTAAGAAAAAGCAAATGAGGGCCTGAGAGGGCAATGCATGCCTATATCCCATCTACTTGGGAGGCAAAGAAGGAGGATCATAGTTCAAGGACAGTCAGGTGAAAGTTAACAAGAACCTAATTCTACCAACAAACTGGCAGGGTGATACACATTTGTAATTCCAGCTATCTGGAAAACAGTAAACAAGAGGTCAAAGCAGGCCCCTAGCAGAAAGCTGGAGACCGCTATCCAAAAAATAACTAAAGTGCCTAGTGCTGGTAGCTCACGCCTGTCATCCTAGCTACTCAGAAGGCTGAGATACGAGGATCCTGGTTCAAACCCAGACTGGGCAGGAAAGTCTGTGAGACGCTTATCTCCAATTAATCACTAGAAAACCGGAAGTGGTGCTGTGGCTTAAAGAAGTAGAGCATTATCCTTGAGCTGAAGAGCTCATGGACAGTGCCCAGGCCCAGACTTCCAAGTCTCACAACTGACAATAAATAAATAAGTTAATTAATTAATAAAGCACAAAGGGCTGAAAGCATGATTCACGTGGTAGAGTACCTACCTAGCAAGCTCAAGGGTCTGAGTTCGAACCCAGACCACCCAAAAGAAAAAAAGGAAAGGCAACTGGCAGACAACCTAAAACACATGAGCACATTTTCAATCTTTATCAACTCCATCAAAGATGATTTTAAAAAATGAGTAATGAGAGCTGGGAAGATGGCTCAGTGGTAGAGCGCTTGCCTTGCATGCATGAGGCCCTGGGTTCGATTCCCCAGTACCACATAAGCAAAAAGAAAAAAGCCGGAAGTGGCACTGTGGCTCAAGTGGTAGAGTGCTTGAGCTGAAGAGCTGAGGGACAGCGCCCAGGCCCAGAG